AAAAGGGAAGGAATTCATCCACCAACTGCAAACTTGCTCTCATCACACAACCCCACAAACTGCAACAGTGCTCTCATCACATAACGTCCTCATTGTGCGGATACCATTACCACGGGCAGTTGATCTGCAAGTGTGTTTTTTTCCACAACAATGAATCCATTTATTGCAAAATTCAGGGGAGGTCGGGAGGGAATCCCTCCACAAACGATCTGCATGTTTCCCTCGACGGCAGTCCGCAATACGCTCAACGAACACCACGAATATCGGAAATCACGGCTGTCCTGTTGAAGTTTTCAAACTGAGATATACTGCTCGTACTTTTGTGTCAATAATAACTACGTAGGATACTACCGTCTTCCCCCGAATAGAACGCCCGGTCATTATCGCTGCATCGGGACAGAAAATTGCCCCAGATAAGGCTATAACGATCGGGTGTTCTATTCGGATGAAGACGGTAAAGTAGAGAAGAAACAACAACGTAGCGAACAACGTAGCGGATTGACTGCATCATTACCCACTGCAAAACAAAAGACATACTTCACGGCAAGCCACCCGCTCTCATGGAGAGATCATCAGCATGCACACAATGACAGAAGACGAGTTCCGTAAACAACCTCGACCGAACACAAAATTTTCTTATAGTCAGGATTTCATTCTCGGTGAAGTCTCTTCCATTGTCGGCGCACAAAAAGGACCATTGTCGGCGGACAAAAAGGACTATTGTCGGCGCACAAAAAGGACCATTGTCGGCGCACATAAAGGGCCATCATTTTCGACGCACAAAACGGATTACAACTGATCAAATTAACTGAATGAAACTGGATTTCGCAATTTTGAACATTTTTCTCCGCCACCAAATCATATCAATATCGATCGGGCCTTCTCGCATTACCTCTATGTAGGACACTTTGATTGTGATCTCTGATTTCTCTTGGAGCTCTTCCACCTTTTGAAAAATAGTCTGCATAACCTTAGGAATGATTGCATCTGCATTGTCCCCTGAGTATCCGCTTCCCATCGTGTAAGTCTTCCCGGAGCCAGTCTGCACTCCCACCACACAATCACCGGCACGATAAGAGGCGATGAAAAATAATAACGCCGATAGAACAGAGTCGTAGTCGGTAATGCACAAGAGCAAGGAGACAGACACAATGTTGAAAGCAGGAGGTCACGGCGGTTGGACCTGCCTTAATGCTAAGGCCAGGTGCACGACCTGTACCTGACTCCTCCGTTCTACAGAAATACATTTAGACCAGCATATTCCTGCCATTTGTGAGCAACTTGCATAGCAGAACGAAACTCCTACTCCAACGATACATTATGAACCCTGATCAGGGCGTCTTTAAAAAAGATAAAAATATAAAGAAGATCATTTCCTCATCGTCGGATTAGGAGCTTATTCGATCATCATAAGATAACGTTGTTTGCGACCGCACCCCGTAGCAGCTGTGCACCTACACAGGCAGATATGAATCCGTCAGCACAAATAAACAAGACAACTAACAAGAAATTGGCATCTTAAGATAACGTCGATACTATGCTGAAGAAAAACAACGGCCAGGTAAGATCAACTGTAGTATTTTTTCTGATTAGAGCTGGAAAAAAACAAAATTTGGCATGCGATAGCCCGCTCACACAACAAACGAGAAGCTATTGAATGATCCCTTCATGGAAACCAAAGCCAATAGGACCATCTGTCAATAACGCGCCTCAGAGGGAGGCAATCACCACAAGAAGATTTTCAAACTCCTGTTTTCCAAGCAGGAGGCCATTTTTCAGCGCATAGGCTTGAAGTATGTCCAGTCTTACCCAGCACCGGATCGAGTGGACGCCGAAACTCACCTGGCCATATGCAAGTACAGTCGCATTGTAGCCTTGAAAAAGGCCCTCGACAAGCGGAAGCACACAATCGCCAAACAACTCCCTCTGGTTCGTGCCAGTACTACCATATACATGGTCGAAAGTAAACGTGTGGTTTTGCCCCAGATGGACCTGTGAAAAAGACGAGGGAAAAAACACAGCACAAATTATCTCAATCCCTCACCTTCTACAATCCAGCTCTCTCCAAATGGTGAGCACAAAGACGTTTATACATTATGGCTCACCCCTCTCCTCGTCATCTCGCCACCCCATATTTGGGGCCAATCTGGTACCCAGGCATCCACACCATGCGGATCCCAAGACAGGCGCGTTAGCTTCACCCACCCCCAGCCGCCTCCCAGCTTGCCACCTCTCTCTCTCTCTCTCTCTCTCTCTCTCTCTCTCTCTCTCTCTCTCTCTCTCTCTNCTCTCTCTCTCTCTCTCTCTCTCTCTCTCTCTCTCTCTCTCTCTCTCTCTCTCTCTCTCTCTCTCTCTCTCTCTCTCTCTCTCTCTACATATATCTACCTATCTCGCGGACACGCACAAGAGACTCGTACACAAACGGATACTCGCTCAAACACACAGCAAGAAATTTCCTACAAACAAACCCTCTCGCAAACACGCGGGCACAGATCATTGAGCATGACATCCATTTCATCTCACGTCGCCCCCGCACCGCTTTTGTTATATGGCCCAATTCCCAGCGCCCATTTGTCGTACATCTCAGGCGATCTCATCACAGCTCCCTCCTCTCCAACTCAGCCATTCCCCCTGTTTTCCACCAGTTTCGCTCCTCATCATTCCCCTATCCAACTCAGTCATCTCCCACACGTTCGCAGCTCCCTGCAAGTGCCTTCCCTTCGCTGGATTCTACCTCATCCCTCCTGCCCCACCCTTTCCTTACACACTCTCCCATCAAATGCTCCTACTGGCACCATTTCCATACTCCCCGATTTCCTAGTCCTCATCGCACCTCTTTCTGCTTCGTTTCTTCAATACCTGCTGGATGGCTGAGAAGTGCAAGCCCAGAATTGTTGATTATCAGAATATAGGTGGCGATTCCGCAAGAGGCAAAAATGCAGACACTGCATTCGGTACGAACGGAGTAGTGACATAGTATGTCCGCAGCCGCAAACAGGCAACGAATTTAGGTCTTGCGAAGGGGAGTAAAAGTGATTGGAAGAGACTACACATCAGCAGAAGTCAGCGAAAGCAAACTGATAGAGGGATAATACAAAATAAGCGAGCCTTCGGAGGGAGTAAAAACCGTATACGCGAAGGACTGATGAACAAAGGTTAGCGATGTTACCGAAGACGACACGTGAACGAGCACGAGCATGGGTGATGAGAAGCGCGTGCGCAAACATGGCAGTATGATAATGGCAGCTACAGAAGATGAGGCGAGCGAGAGGCAGATCACTAAGTGGGAATGGGTTTAGAGAATCGAGCGGTGGCGTAGAAGCTATGAGACCTGGCGGCGAGCCGAAGAGAGGAGAGAAACAGCACGTTACGTGAGGTGGCTGTTTCGCAAGGAGGAGAGCAGACATACCTCAGAATATTCGAGTGAGGTCGAGAACAGGGATCTAACAAAGGGAGGACATGGCGGTGCAGATGAAGAGCAGATAGGGGAAAGCAAGTGCAAGATAGAAAAGGAAATACAGAAATGTAGCATAGATCGAGGAAGACGAGCGTAAGTCATGAGATAAGCACATCTCAAGGGCCGATTAGTGAGTGTCAGCAGATGGGTCCGACTTCGAGAAGACCAGACAAGCCGTGTAAGACTCGAGAAGACGCGAGCAGGACAATCTAACAAAAGAGGGAATGTGATAACAGACATAGGAACGGCGTGAGGGTACAAGACTGGGAAAGAGAGAATTGGCAGACGGGATAGGATTCCAGAAGAGCGAGAGCATACAGAAGAGAGATATGAGTATAAGTCAGCCAGTTTGTGAACAAGTGGTATTACCTGAGGTTCTCCAGGTAGCACAGTGATGCATTCCCTGCAACCCTCGATCCGCTCTTGCACAATAAGTGGTCTGATATTGAGCGCCACTTTTACAGCAAGCGATTCTCCCTCCATTGTAGATGATGAATCTTCTTAGCCCTCACAGGAGCTTTCCCAGCTCCACAACCCCACCGCCACAAGGCTCCGCCAGCACTGCGAAAACCACGACTGGAACTGCGGCGGCCTCTACCCGCCAGAAACCTGTACGGGATAACCCGCTTTCAACGCAAAAAACATCCGTCCGAAAACGAAAAACCCTAATAAAAAAGATGGATGATGAGCAAGACAAGAACCGGAATTGAGTACACCTGACACATAATTGACGAACAACGGTACTATGAACAGTCGTAGTGTCGCGGAGAGAGGTCAACATCAATCAATCAAGCCCCTGATTGCTACGATCCTTGAGGAAGTAATTACACAGAGGAATACTGATCTGTAACTTGCTAAGAGGGCGATAGTAGGAGCCGGCCTTTTTGACACAACCTACTGATGAAAGTCTCGACCACGGCGAGGAGAGGGTCAAGAGGAGGCAATCTTTCTACCTGTTTTCCATTCAACTATATGAAACCGCTGGCTTAAGAGAATATGCCCTGCGTTAGTGAGGAGGACGTGCGTGCTTCGGTTCCCGAACGGAACGAGCTGAGACACGGAGGCCGGAAAGGAGAAGGAGAAGGAGAAAGCAACAGAATGAGGACGTATGTGAGGGGCATCTCTTCAACTTGGAGAAAAGGCAACGGATACTACATGTCAATGTCGACAGCGACAGAGAAACACACCGCCTACACCCACAGTGATCTTCACAACTTTCCTCGACTTCACGAGAACAACCCGCGCCGAACAGTGCGCAAACGCAAAAAAGCAAGAGAAGTATGCCCCCCGCCGAAGGTCTTCTCCAAAACTTTTCATTGGGGAGAACTGCCCGCGGCGAAGACAACAGAACGAGGCGGTGAACGGGGTGAGTTGCCCGCCTTCCCCACCGCCAACATCAATGCGCAACGGTCATGAAATTGTTCGGGGCTGCTTTTTTTACCCAAAGGCCTGGAATTCGAAACTTCGCATGGCCGTCGCACTACACGATGATTTGAATCCTCCCGCCCGCTGTACCCGTGTGGCGGCAGAATGAAGAACTCCGCGACGATAAACAGATCGAGATCGAGAGCTCGAATCGGACTCAGAAAATAACGTCAGAGGCTGTAAATTTTCGTGCTTTGCCCCGCGCCGTGCCGACCTGTGCCGGCCGCGCGTGGCCCCGTCTGCCCTTTTTTCGCTTTTTCCCGATCGACTACTGGGGGCCTGGGTTCCGCGAGTTCTAGGTTTCTGATCGTTCCTGATCGTAGATTATCAAGATCCATGGCAGAAAATGAACAGCAGACCCCAGTAAGTAACCTCGGTTAGTGCTACCGGTAGCTCGTGCTCGCAGCATACCATTCCCGCCCAACGGCATGGCGGGGAACTCCCTCGACCCAAAGGAAAACAGAACCCTCGAAAACGAGAACACAGTCGGGACACATTAAAAAAAAAAACACGAGGACCCAGGCCAGGGCCATGCCATCGGGGCTAAGCGCGCGTCAAGCACTACTCTGGTCGGAGAAACAGTTATGTCTGGGCTCCCTCACAAGATGGGCGCACAGCTAGAGCTCCATCAGCAGCGATGGTTTCAGATCATATGCTGCATCAACCCCGTCCGTACAAGACAAATGAGGCACTGAAGACCGAGGGGGCCGCACGACAAAAGAGCGAAGGCGAAATTGTACGAGGCCTAGTCACATCCCATGTGAAAGGTACAGTTTTTTGGCACTTGTCCCTTGAAAGACACGAGATGTTCTTCAGTTGGCACGTAGACAGCCATGATGTCTTTCACAGCTGAAAGAGGCAAAATGAGCTGCCTTTCTGCTGCCAGCCAAATTTAGGGACATACCTGGCCTGTATGAAAATGTCAGGTGCTACCTTTTTTCCAAGGGATTCTTTTTGAAATGCCCCTCCGACTTCCATTTATTTGCGGTACGCCCCTCCGACGGCCGACTTACCCTGTTGTGCCCCTGGGGCCTCTGAAATTTCCTGCAGGCCCCTGTCAGTGAGGGTTGCAACTTTCCAGCATGCCCCTGTGGCCATTGGTGGCACGCGCGGTCATTCCCCTGGCCCTCGGAGGGGAGCTACCGGGGCATGCTGGAAATTTGGAGCCGGTACCGGTAGGGGCATATTGAACATATTTCAGGCCCGAACGACGCCAGGGTCTTTTCGAAAACTTCAATTGTCGTCAGAGGGGCGTGACAGGGTAAGTCGGCCTTCAGAGGGGCATAAGGCAAATAAATGGAAGTCGGAGGGCATTTAAAAAAAAAACGCTTAAAAAAAAAACAAAAAAAAAACAGCTATCACAACTTGTCGTAATGGTAAGAGCATACACACGTAGTTGTCTCAACAAGAAATAAAAAACAGAAACAATAAAGGACTACTGGCTCCATTCCATTGGTGGGGAGCAGCACCTGCTCGAAACCGGGTCTAGTGTCCCATGGAATATAACTCGGGATATGTACATACGAAGTTTGATGGGGCAGAATACGCCTCTTCAGCTTATGAAGGCCGCCAGTCGCTACAACACCAACCAAGCTATCCTACCCCTTTCATGAAATCTTGAACGAGATCATGTCATGCCTACCCCAAACCATGCAATTGAAGGTCAGTTGGGGCTAACTCAGAAAGAGGAAAAGGGTCCGAACAGAAAATCAGAGATTTGAGGTAGGCTCCTGGTGGAGGCTTAAACCAGTCACGAAATACAAGTTGGAAGTCCTTCTGTAGAGGGACCTTTCGCCCATCCTCCCCTGGCCATTTCACCTCACCCAGACCCCCTCCAAAAAAAACTCAACAGCCAATCTGAAACAACTTTATTGATTGTTTGTTGTACATTTTTTTTTTTTATGAAAGTTGTTCAATTTGAACCAATGTACTCAATTTTTTGTCTGCGCTAATTATGCAATTAGTTATATTATTTTTGTACCTTCTATAATAACCTCTTCTCTTACATAGACACAGCATTTATACCAAAGTGACCATATGACCACATCCAAGCCAATTGCAAAAAGGTTTTGTTAAAGATTAGTCAAGAGGAAACCCCGAGGATCCCAATATCCTTAAAAAATGACATTCTAGGCATGAGAGGTCCTTCCAGATATAGTCCCCGTGCATCTATGGCAATTCTGATCATGAATACTGCATAAAAATAATTTGTCTGATGGGGAATGCAAAAAGGCACGATTTGCACTAGGGGAACGCAAGGCCCCTTTGTTATACGGATGTATGATCAATGATCCAATAATTGGCGAATAGGCAACGCTGAACAATTTATCATTGCAATAAGCCAAATTTCGTTGTCCTTTGCTTAAGGTTTTATTTTCTTTTATATGTTTGAGTAAATTCACACAAACGTTGCGATGCCGGATCCACCGATTTTGCACAATCACAAAAATGTTCATTCTTAGTCTCAGAAATTTGTATGTCGCCTTGACAGTAAGAAAAAATAAAGATCGTGGTTTCCCTCTCTTGCAAGTTTGTCAAAATCATTCCGTCGGATCTAACAGGGATCCGAGAATGGGCAGCCCAGTGTGGAATGCTCTCCATCCTTTCATAGATAAGGCGAAAATAACTTTGATCTAATAATCGATCGAAAGGGAATAAAACTATTAAATCCTCTGATGAATTAAGAACGAGGTGGTCCCTATATATTTTGAATAGACTGACAAAAGTGTTTTTTTTTTTTCTAGGTGCACCACCCGTCTAATTTTATGTTCGTCGTTAGGCTGAGTCCTAACTACCCAATCCGTTTATCTAAAAATGAATGTATTTTCCCAGCGTTCTTCGTCAAGCCAAAGGAATAGAGAAAATGATATGGTTAAGACTTTAGGTCATCTGGTGTGCATAGCGAAGAGTCACTTTCAACTGATCAGGGGTCTTTTTGTCATTCCTTACTCTATTTCGTAGGTCCTTGATTCCCAAACCCCCCTGTTTCACCCATAACTACCAGGGCGAACAAGAGTTGTTGAAAATATATTAATTCACATCGGTTATCCAACGATTACTAAGAAATTGGTGATATAGTATCTTCTGATAACGTAAGGGAAAATTTTTATTGGGTAAATGTAGGGAGCACCATATTTCTTAAAGTATTACAAGAAACTTAGTAGAAAGTGTAAAACAAAAAAAAACAATTCAGTGGTTAAGACTCACTTTTCTCTATACAGGGTTTGTACTCGAAGAATGCACCAGAAACGATCCTCTATCCAAGTGAGAGCGAATGCCGTATCGACAACATGAGGGGTCGATCGACGAATTTGTTCCAATGTCATGGTCTGGTAAGGTATGCCAAAAAAAAATATATATATATATATATATATATATATCGGTCTATTGTAGGGAGAGAGTTTTATCTGGAAGCGTGGGCTCCATAATGTCTAACCCTCCTTTTGTTTTTGGTTGAATAAATGAAAGTTAAGCTGGTTTTTGGATAACCTTATTTTGCTCATTATCATCCTTCCATCAAAATGTTAATACTTGTTTCTGAAGCATTATGATGTTTAATTTACTTATTGACAACATTGTAGATTTTCATTAAATAGAGGTTGATACTACAGTATTAATAAACAGAGCTCTGCCAAAAATTAACGCCTGCTTGTCCTTCCATTGTAGCGTCTTGTTTAAAGTTTGCAAAACTATTTATTCATCATTTGTGATAAGTTTTTCTTGAGGAGTAAGGGAGACTCCTAAAATTCGAATAGGGGTTTCCAATGACACTTAACTAACCATGAGTTGTTATGGGGGACACACCCCATTGGAATGTATCCACCGGCTCTGTGTCTTGTTTCCCCAGTTAACTACCATATTTGGTACTTTGAAAAATGTTTTCATCAAGGCCTTAGTCTCTATCATGTTTCAATTAAACGCCTTCATCACAATTATGAGGTTATCCTCAAACATTGAGATAATGGGGATAGTCTCTTCAAATATACACAATACACAAAGTCTTTTGATATTTTTGTGTGTTTTAAGGTTAATTTTTAATTCCTCCATAATAATAAGAAAGAGAATGAGGTTCAGAGGATCCACTTGCCTCATTGACCTTTGTAGTCGAA